CTGATGGGTGGTTTGGGCTCAAAGTCTGGGGGAGTTCGGATGGGAGTGGGGAGCAAGGATGGGGAGAAGCAGCTCCAGTTTGTATGGAGAATACTGGGGAATGGGGACTCCTAAATTTTGCTATGAATTAGGAATAAACTTCTCCTTGACCCCAATCCTCCTGCCCACCTTGGGGAAAGGCCAAAGTAAAGACTTAAATTTCCTTTTATTACACTCTGATGGCTCGTCGGTGATTCTCTGCATGTGTCCCCAAGGCAAGACTGGACCATGTGGAGCACAGCGACCTGTGGGGCACATGATGTTCACCCCACTGTCTAGATGGGGAAACCGAGGTTGAGAGAAGGGATGTGCTCGCCACCCCCAAGTCACAGAACGAGACAAGGGCACCCTGGGAGCTCAATCTTTGGCCTCCTGATTCCAATTCTCCATGCTCCCAAAGGAGTATCTGAACCCCCTTTTCATGTATGGATTGGTCAAAGGGGCCAGTTCTCTGGTGCATCTACAATAGGATTTGGGTCACATGGAACCAGCAAGCTTGACACACTTAAGTTTGACACACTTTGCTTAGAACGAGAGCTCCGGGGCCTTGGTTTCCCTCAGCAGAGGGCTTGGGGCTGCCACTTGGACACGCTCTCCTAGGAGACCAGAATCCTGGTACAAGGGGTATCACCTAGCCCCCTGCTCCCCGGATCTGCTGGCATGGCCTCGGCATGGTCCTCTCCCTCCCACATCCGAACCCCTGGAATGAGCCGCCGTCAGGAGAGGGCGGCTACCACCCCCGTCCGGAATATGAGAGGGGTGGGCAGATTGCCCATGCTGATAGAAGAACCCAGAGCCTCTGACGGGTGTCTCCTTAGGCACCCAACACCTGCTCATGAATTGTGCACGGTTCCTGGGTCTCACTGTCCCGCGGGCAGCCGCTGTCTGTCCGGCCTCTCTCTGTTGCGTGCCCCAACCTGGTTTCAAAGAAAGAACATCCATTCAAGTGTGACCCGCAGACCCGAGTTCAAGTTACATCTCTACCATGACTAAGCTCTGCTGCTCTGGCCAAGCTGTTCACCTTCTCTGAGCTCCAAAGGAGGCCCTTCAGGTCCTTGTGAGGACTGAGCAGGTGGGGAAGGGGCCTTGCACAGGCAGTGGAAGAGACCCCTCGGCTCCCGAGGCCCCCCATGCCCTGCTCTAGGCCGAGGCGGTAAAGGGGGTGGGGAGGGAGAGGCTCAGGGGACCCTTTTTTCTTCAGTGATATCTGCTTGTTTAAAGGAGGAGGGTAACGACATTCCCCAGGACACCCTCCAGGTGTAAATATTTACCCATTAAGAGTGGTAGAAAGGCCTGGAGGGAGGTGAGGTCACCGCGGCCACCCCACCCGCACCCCGGATGGTGCAGAGGGAGGCAGGAGAGGCAGTGAAGGAAAGCGAACAGGAGGGGAGAAATCACACATAAACATTTGCCGAGAGAGAACGAATCCCCGAGTGGCAGAACCGTTTGAAAACGTCTTATTTGCACAAGAGCTTGCCATGCCGGCACCACGGGCCCAGTGGGCGGTGAGAGTTACTCTTTAACACAAACACACAGGACTAAGCACAAACTGGGAGGCGAGTCGGAGGTGGGCTTCTCTCGCAGGCACTTCCTTCTCACCTTCTGCACGACTCAGGGAGGAGGGCGGTGGGGTCCGGGACGGGCGTGGTCAGGCCAGGGGCTCTGCAGGTGCAAAGGCCTGGAGGACTGAGCTGAGGGGCGTGGGAGGGCCAGGGAGAGGGGCCACGGCGCTGGGCCACCTGTAGCCAAGGGGACTGTGGTGGGGCAGGGGCAGGGTGAGATGTGTCCCCCAAGGGCCCCCGTGAGTCAGACAGGTGCCGGGCTCACTGTGATGGGAGTCCCCGTGGTCCTTCTGCAAGGCTTGAAGCCTGGATTGGGGCCAGAGGGAGGGGCCGAGGGCAGACCCCGGCTCAGCCAGCCCCTCCCGATGGCCCTGCCCCTGAAAGGGGACCCCTGAGAGGGCTCAGACCCGGAGGAAGCCAACAGCCCGATTCCCTGCAAGCAGCCTCGCTCCTTCTCCCTAGAGAGAGATGCTCATTCTTCCATCCCGTTCCGAAACTACTGTTCACCAGTGCCCAGAGCCCTCCTGGCTTCTGCAGGGGGACAAAGGACAGACTGGTTAACAAAAGAGGGGAGTGCAGAGTGACTCAGTGACAAAAAGCGCAGCCCAACATGGAGATGAACGAGGACACAAAAGCTCTGGGCCAGGAGGCTGCCCTGCGTGAAGTTGCTTGGGGCTTAGAAGCCTGGGGACAGTAGATGGGCCTGGAACAATGGGCCCTTCAGTCCCTAAAGCGCGCGGCTTGGCATTGGCAGAACGGCCTGGCAAGGGAGCCGAGTCTGACTTGCTGAAAGTAATCTCCCCACACGGAGACCCACGAGGAAGTTTGACTTAAATATTCGGTTGCCGTGGCAACCTTCTCCACTGGTCCTCCCCATGTCATTCTCCATCGCAGCAAACCGTGGCTGGAACTTTTTGCTTCAACTGGAAACTTACGGTTGCCAAGGCAACCCCCTTAAAGCACCCCGAGGATGCAGGTGGGCTGTGGGGGGGGGGAACCTGTCTCTGGGGGGTCCAAGACGGCTGCCCCCGGCTGCCCGGTGGGCAGAGGAGGGATCCTGGGCAATGGGGCGGTGAGGTGAATAAGTTTGGGGTAGAATACGGTGGGGAAGGGGGTTCCAGAAAAAAGAGGACAAGGGGCCTCCACAAGGGCACTCATTCATTCCCTCCTTCACCTGTTTGTAAGTCACTCATTCATTCATTCATTCATTCGCTCACCTACACACTCTACCACGCGAGCCTCTGTTCTATTGTCTGGCTTTTTCGTTTCCCGCAGGCTTGGGTGGATGGAGGGATGGGCAGGACCCTACACACATACACACACACACACACACACACACACACACACACACACACGGAAAAGCAGGAACAGAAAGAGCACTGGCTTTGGAGTCAGACAGACATGGATGTTCATTCCGATTCCTGACTCTCCTCATTGATCCGTGAGAACGTCAGACTCGAACCAGCTTCGGAAGGTCCTGGGAGCAGCAAACAACCAGAGGCCCCATAACACAGGCCTCCTCCTCCCGAGGAGCGGGTGGACACCGGTCATGCCCCGGCTCGGACCCAGCTGCAGCTCCAGTGTGGGGAAGCCGGGGGGCCAGTGCAGAAGCTGGGACTGGGCCAGGCTGGGAAGGTCCTCACCTGCCCCCTCCCCTGAGGTGCCTCCAAGAAGAAAGCGGGGGAAGGAAGGGGAGGGAAGCAGGTGACATTCCAGGAGGCCTCCCTGCCTGGGCTTCTAGGCACCGCATCCCGCATCCCGTATCCCAGCAACCCCATGAGGCCGTTTTCTTTCCCTCTGTTTGGCAGATTAGGAAACTGAGGCTCAGAGAGGTGGAGTGAGGTCACCCAGAGAGTAAGCAAGTTGATCCAGAATTCACCCGTGGGCCGCATTCCTTCCAAAACCCCTCAGAAAATCCTCACCCTGTCCTAGGAGGCGGATTCCATTATCCTGCTGGCTGACGCAGAACTCGGAGCTAAGTGAGGTTAGGCAGCTCACCTGACATCACAGAGCTCCTCCGTGCTGCTCCCCAACCCCCTCAGCCCAAACGCCCGGACCTGGGGCCACGGTCTGTGCCCTGCAGTCCACCGCGAAGTCACCCCTGGGAAGGGGGACGGGAGGGGAACCAGCAGAAATCCATTATTTCCGCTCTACCCTCAACCTCCAACATCTGCTTCTCTAGGACCTGGGTGTGGCCACTGGTCAGGGTGCAGGATTGGGGGCGGGGGTGGGGGACCCACTGAGGTCCTGTGGCCACATGGAGGGTGAACAACAGGCTGGGAGACCAGGCAGGCAGCTGGGACAGGACAGCTCCGTTTCCTGCTCCTTCCCTAGAGTCGTCAATACCAGACGCCCCTTAAAAGTGTGAGGACTGTAGATGGGGGGAGGGGGGAAGGAGGAGGTGACCCTGGGAGGTGGGGAGTTGTGTCTCCCCTACTTCCAGGGGAGGAGGAAACCGAAGTTCAGAAACCTTAAGTGATGCATCCAAGGCTCACAATGATCTGAGCCCCAGGCCAGACCTGTGGACCCATGTCCGGGGCTCCTCTGGCTGCCGAGGGGCCACTTCTGTTTCTGAGCCTTCTCCTCCTCTCCCCACATGCGGCTGGGCAGCCCCTTGCTGCAGGCCTACAGCCGCACGTCCTGCCGCCAGCTCTTCATTCTCCCTCCACCTCCCCGGGAACTTGGTCCCTGCTCTCCCTCCCACCCAGAACATTCTTCCGCCAGAGGCCTGCTTACACTCCGTGCCAGACTTTGCTTTAACGTTCCCTCCACAGAGAGGCTTCCTCTGACCATCTTATCTGAAACAGGCACCCCCTCTACTTAAAATAATTAGCTTTGGAGCGGGGGTGGGGGCCGGACAAAAAGACAGCCATGCTGGGAGATGGGCACCTCGGGGTTCATTGCTCAGTTGTCTCTATCTTTTCATATGTTTGAAATTTCCCATAATAAAGTTTTTTAAATAATAAACTATATAAGTTGTATTTTTTTATCTTTAAGGAGGCTCCACACCAGTGTGGAGCCCAATGTGGGGCTTAAACTCACGACCCTGAGATCAAGACCTAAGCTGAGATCAAGAGTCAGATGCTTAACCCACTAAGCCACCCAGGTGCCCCAAATAATGAATTATAGAATCAACATTCCTGGGGAGCCTGAGTGGCTCAGTGGGTTAAGCGTCCAACTCTTGATTTCGGGTCAGGTCATGATCTCAGCAGGGTGAGATTGAGTCCTGCATCAGGCTCTGCGCTCAGTCTGCTCGTCCCTCTCCCTGTGCCCCTCCCCCCACTTGTGAACTCTCTCTCTCAAATAATTAAACTTTTAAAGAAAGAGAGAGAAATCAACATTCCTTCCGCCTGTCTCTATCCCGTCACCTGGTTTATCTTCCTTCCTAGTACTTAACTCCACCTGGCATCACACGATGCACCATTGGGCCACCGTGGGCCCAGCCTCGGGAGGAGCATGGGGACAGAGGACTGCTGTATTCCAGTGCGGCTCGGGCAGAGGGCCTGAGGGGGGCGCTCAGCATGGACCAGAGTGCGGGGGTGGGGGGGGGCTTGGTGGGCAAGCAGAGCCTGGGCCTTGTGCAGAGGATGGAGATGGAGAGCGCACACCACACCTGTGTCCCACCCGCCTCACCTGCCTCCTGACTGTTCCAACGACACAGCGATTCATCTCCACTTCTGAGGTTTTACACGTATTCCCTCTGCCAGAAAGCTCTTCCCTGGCTCTCCTCCTCCTTCGGGTTTAAGCATGAGTGTGGGCTGTGCAGAGAGACTGACCCCGAGCAGCCCTCGGGAGCAGACACTCGGGGATTATCCACACCAGCACCCCGTTTCCTGCAGAGCAAGTGGTAGGAGGCTTTGCTGCTTCCAGTTGTCCAGCCAGCCCTGCACGCGCACCTTCCCTCTGTGGCTTTGCAGGGTGTCCCTCTAGAGGCAGTGTGTATTTTCCCAGCACACTGACGGTGGACTTGACCACGAGACAAGCTCCGGCCGATGGGATGTGGGCAGAAGTGAAAGTGTCCCACTTCAGGGGCTGCGGAAGCACGACAGCTTTCTTTTTGCCCCCTGGCTCCTTGCCATCCCCATGGGACACACACGTCCCCAGAAGTCCAAGGATGAGTGGCCTATTGAGCAGCCCAGCCAGATCCACGGATCCCCAGCCGATCTGCAGACTTGTGAGGGAGAACGAATGATTGTTGTGGAAGCCCCTGCGTTTGGGCTTGTTAGGTGGCATAATGGGGACCACCGATGACTGGTCCGCAGAACTTAACATGCTCTCATTTATCTGCCTGTGTAGTCGCCATGGTCTGGGTGCACGCTAGCCCACAGGCTCCCTGAGGCCAGGGCCCTCCCCGTCTACTGTAGTCAGTACCCAGTACGGGACAGGGTCTGACGGCTGGAGAATGTCGAATATGCACATCGAGCCAGGGAATGAATGGATACAGTGTCTTAAAGGGTCGGAAGCAGGGGAGTGGCGGGAGCAGACCAGTGGGGTCTGTGGCGGTGGGGGGGCATTTGCAGGAGATCCAGCGAGGAAGGTGGCGCCGTGGTCCAGAAGGAGACACAGGTGGCCAGGACTCTGGAAAGAACAGAGAAGCCGACAGATTTGGGATGAGTAACCCCAAAGCTGAGGCCGATTCAGCCCGTCCTGAAGGCCAGGCTCTCCCTGCACACCCCTTCGTTAAATCCTCAAACCACCATACGGGGTGGGTACTGTGATCATCCCCGTTTTCAAGAAGAAGAAACTGAGGCACAGAGAGGGTCATAACCTTCCCAGGTCACACAGCGAGTAAGCCGCGGCTGCCAAACGAGGCAGCCCAGCCCTGGGGTCCTCACGCTGACCCCCTCCCCCCACCCTTGTGTTCCAGTCTCACATTTCAGAGCAACATCGGGGGGGTCCGGAGACACGGGTGGCATGAGGGGGGCAGAGAAATTCACCCCCAGCACGTGTGGGAGGAGGGGATGGCTCACCACCGGGAGATACCAGGGAAAGCGTTTTGCTTTTTGCCATTTAATTCAAGTGGTCATGCCTTGGATTGTGTATTGGGACCCCTTTCCCCTGGAGACTGGGGGGAGGCGGGATCTGTGAACATGGAGAGGGGAGCTCCACCAGACCATACACTTTCCCCGTTCCCTCTCCCTTGCTCGCCCCACCCCAGGGAAGACTAGGTGGATGGTTCCTCCCAGAGTTAATGACCCCTGTGTGGACCACCCACACCCTTCGGCCAGGGTTAGAGACAAAGCAGTGAGAGAATTCCTAGTGACAGAACCTCAGGCATTGGTGAGAGGCCTGCAGAGCAAACCCAGGAGGAGGGAGTCTCTGTACAGGCCCCCAAAACTCCTCTGGGTTGGGAACCCCCAAGCTGGTGGGCGGAGGTGTGGATGGGAACCCTCCCATCTGCCTGCTCTTTGCAGTTTACAAAGCACTTTCCCACACAGCGGTCTCGCAGGACAGGACGGAGGCTTGCTGACTTCCCAGCGCACACACCTGGAAGGACCAGAGCTGGGTGGGACCCCGGGGTTAACGGCCACCCCCTCCTTGCTCTGCGCCCCCGGGTGATGCGGCCGTCTGTCCAGGCATTGGAGGCGTGGACCGGGCTGACGTCACGAGGGTGTGGGATCGGCCCACGCAGGGGCCTGGGGACTCACCGGGTGGGAGGTCAGTGCCCCACGGAGTTGTCCCCATGGAGGGAGCCAGAATCCTTAGAACAAACCTCATGAGTGGAAAGACTCTTGGAAAGAATGTGGCTGACAGTGATGCTCAGCGAACTGAGGTGAAGAAGGGGAGGGCTGAGGTCATGCCGTGCCCCAGAGCTGCTCAGACTGGGACCGGAGGAGAAGTCAGTCTGGAAAATTCCATGGTCAGAGCCCAGAGAAGCCTCCAGCTCCTGACTTCTTCCTCCTCCCTCAGACCAGCAGCCACTCCCTCCTCGGACCCTCTTCTGCACACGCTGTAGGGCCCGGGGGTTCTGGGTGCTAGGGGTACAGCAACAGGAGTGAGGGACAAGGTCTCCCGCACGGCTGGTGGGAGAGGCAGAACGGGGGTCAGGAGGGAGGGCTTTCCTCTGGCCCCACGCAGGATTCCTGGCTTTCTCGGCGGGGAATCCAGGGGCTAGAATGTTCCAGCCACGAACTTGTTTCCATGGTCCCCCTCCTCTACCACAACAGCCTGGCTTTCTCCAGCCTGGACTCTCTTCCTTTTGCTCCAGATGTTGCTCCCTGTTAAACTCCGATCTGCCCACCGAAGGCGAACACACAGGCCTTGTCCATCAGGGACGCCTAGTTTATCCTTGGTTTTATTTGTTCCTGTGCAGAGCCTGCCAGCACCCCCACCCCCCCCCCAAAAAAAAGTCACCGTGGAGGCATTTGCTGAGTGGTCACGGATGAATTCAATCATTCGGCAGATATCCCGGGGAACGGCTGCTGCTGGGCCACCAGGAGATGAACACGAGCCAGACACCCCGTTACAGATCTGACGGTGGCCATACAAGGCGATGAAGAACCACCTGCTGTGTGGTCACTCCAATTTTCCAAGTAGCAGGGATCCTTACAAGTATCTGCCAAACTGGGGGCGCCTGGGTGGCGCAGTGGGTTGAGCGGCTGACTCTTGGTTTCGGCTCAGGTCATGCTCTCAGGGGCATGAGACCGAGCCCCGCAACGGGCTCCGGCTCAGCATGAGTCTTCTTCACATTCTCACTCTCCCACTCCCTCTTCCACCCCATCCCCACTCTCTCTCTCTCTCAAATAAAAAAATAAATCTTAAAAGAAAAAAAAGTAGCTGCCAAACTGGACTGGACCAAATGCCAGAAACACGTCCAACACACAGTCAAATGCATCAACATCAGTATTCCATTGTCCTCTGGTGGCCCAGAAGGTGCGCCAGGCCCGTGAGACACAGCAGGGTCTCAGCACTGGTCACTCTCTCTTCTTCCCATTTCTCAGCTGAGACGACCTAGGCCGAGGAAGGTCACGCAGCTGGGCACGGCCGGGATGAAAACTCAGATCGTGTGGGGTGAATGTCGATGTTCTTCCAGCGGCCTGGGCGCTCCCTGGCCTTGGCTTCTCAGCCTGCTGGAGAAGAGCTATGTGCAGCCAGACGGAAGGAGGCTAGCACAGAGACGTGCCAAGAGGTGGGGAGCACCACAGCCTTCTTGGGGCCCTCCTTGCTGACTCGCCCTTACATCTCAGCGGCCAGGAGTGGGTGCCCTGGTCGGCCTAGCTGCAAGGGAGTCCGGGAGGTGGGTGTGTCCCCTGGCCTGCCCCCAACGTCCCCGGGTCCTTGCAAAAGAAAGAAGAGGGATGGACGTGGGTGGGCAACTTTGCTGGGCTGGCCTCATTTTTTATGATGGGGATGAGGACCACTATCATGAGTATCATTATCAGTCTGGCCATTCCCTGCCTGTCACCAGCCCAGCCTCCAGCACCGACCCCAGGGCACGGGACACACACGTGCACACAGACCCGCAGGGAGGGACCCCTGAGCCCCCGCCGCAGCCCCTCAAGGCACAGGTCACAGAGGCTTCTTGCCAGGCTGGAGACCACAGGAGCCACGGGCCCAGCACTTGTCCCCACAGGGCTCCCGGTGTCCCCACAGGGCTCCCGGTGTCCCCACAGGGCTCCCGGCCCCACCCTCCACTGGCGCGGCCCCAGCAGGGACAGCTATTTTGAGAGTAGCTGGCTGGCAGGTGTCACCTCGTGATGGAACAGTTCTCACTTGAGCCAGACAGACCCTGGCTGGTGGCCTCTGCTCTCTGCCTCCCCGCCTCCACCTGGCAGCTTCCCCTCCCAACCTCATGCCCCCCTTCCCCTCTGCCACCCATTACCCCCTCCCCAACCTTTTCCTCCCCATCTCTTTCCCTCTCTCTCCCCCTCCCTCCCTCCCTCTCCTTCTCTTCCCTCTCTCCCCTTCTCTCTCTCCCTTTGTCTCCCTCTCCCCCATCTCTCTGTCTCCCTCTCTCTCCCTCTTACCCTCTTTCTCCCTCTCCCCCGCCCCGTTCCCCCCTGTCCCCTGCTTCTATGACATCCAGCCAGCATTCCCTGAGTCCCCAGCAATGAGCACAGCACTGACACTGACTCACATTGGTCCTTCACTGCTGGCCTGGTAACAGCAGAGCGGGGATTCACGGCCCGGTGTTCTGGCTCCCGCACCACATGTCTGCGGCCTGGCGCTCTCCCAGAGGGCCTGCGCTGGGCTCGAGGGACGAGGGACATGAGCCCGAAGAGAGAGCAGTGGCCGCTCTTGAGCTCACTGTCCAACGGGGGAGCAGCGAGGGCTCAGTTGCCTGGATGGGCACGGGCACCCCATCTGGCCTCACTGTGTTGGTGGCTGGGGAGCTCACTAACCAGGCTGGGGGGGTGGCTGGAGGGACCTTGAAACGTCACCCAAGGGGTAGAGCTTGGACTTTGTGCTCAGGCAGTGGGGAGCCACGGGGGCTCCTGCACAGCTTGATCGGGTTTAGGTTGAATCGGATTGCCGAGGGACTGGACAGTAGTGGGGGGGCTGGAAGGACAGAGGGAGGACGCTTGCCGGTCAGGGTGCTGTTGTGATACGCTGGCCAGCCAACCAGAGGGGCCTCCAGACACGTGCAAGGGGCCCGGCGTGTGGCTTTGGGTCTGCTTTGGACAGTCCTGGCCATGCCCATGGGTCCCCCTCCCCGCCTTCACACCACGCCCCATTCCCACCCCATGCCTTTGCACCCACCACTTCCCTGGCCTCGACACCCTTGCTACTCCTCTCCAGTGAGCGTTCCCAGACTTCCATTTCAGTTCAAGGGCACCTATTCCAGGGGGCCCTCCCTGATGAGCCTCTAAAGCCATAGTGGCCTCGGGCGCTATCTTACCCAGCCCCTGCCCTGCTCTCTTCCATCCCTCTACACCTCTGCTTACACGGTCTCACTGCTGAAGAGCCCACCGCCTGAGTTCAGATTTCACCCCCTCCGCTTCCTGGCATGTGACTTACCCTCTCTGTGCCTCGATGTCCTCATCTGTGAACTGAGGACTGTGGCGCCACCTACTTGGCAGAGTTGTTATGGGAAATAAACAGATATGCCCGGAGCTCACTTGACACAGGGCCTGTGGGTTCGTGGTAAGCAGCCAGCGGGCAGCACCCAGTGCTGTCCTATCTCCCAAACCGAGGGCTCAGGGGTGCGGGGCATCCTCCCGGCTCCCCGCAGTGCCAGTCCTGCCCCCGGGGCCACCAGCACACATCCAGCCCATCCTCCACATGGCGCTGGGAATATCTGAAGGCAGGGATCAGTCCCCTGAGTTTTCCTGCCTCCTGACCAAACAGCCCAGTCCCTCCCCCCACCCCTCCCACAGTGAGGGTTCCAGGCCCTTCTGCACAGCCCTTCTTTCCCCAGCACATTCCCAGGCAGGGCTCTCTTAGATCCAAGGTCCCCTCATCGGTGCTCCCTGGGCCCCTGCTTTGCGCTGGGGCCATCCCTGCTTCCAGAGCTGCTCTTGCCTTCCTCGGAGCCTCTGGAAGCAGGAGTCCTGCTCCTGCCACCTGGGACAAGATCAAGTTCAAGTGCAGTTGTTTGCGGTTGCTGTGATTGGAATTATATACTTTCCTTT